TAATAATTCTATACCATACTTTTTAGGCCTTAACAATTTTTTTTTTTTTTATATTCATTTATAAATCCTTTTTTACCTTACAAAAGTAATAAAAAAAAAAAAAAAAAAACCACAAAGTAATTTTCTTTTCGAGCTAGAAAAAAAAACAATTAATTTCTAATTATGAAATAAATTATTTGTTAGAAATACAAGAAAAGTAAATATATATATATATATATATATATATATATATATATATATATCTACACAACTCTCAGCAAATATTTGAAAATCTATAAAACATTTTCATTTTCTTTTCTAAAATCCTATTTTACTAGGATCAACTATGACACATTGATTACATTGTATTACTAAAATAGTTTGCTTTTGTCATACGTCAAAATCACAATTATTATCTGTGTAAGCAATATTTGTTATTCTTTTTTTTGTTTTTTGTTTTTTTTTTAAATGCTTCCTCTTATTGCATCTGCATAAAAATTTATACATATAACAAATTTTTCTTTTGTTTTGTTTTGGTACACGTGATATACGCATATACATCAAAAGCATCCGTGTATTTGTTATTATTAGAAACATTAGTTTTATTTAAAATGTGTTAATGGAAAACAGGATTATTTTTGTGTCTGTGTGTGTGGTATATACGCTACTAATAATTACTACATCACTATTATTATTATTATTATTTCTTGTTTGTTTTTTTTTTTTTTGTTGATTTTATTTTATTTCATTTTATATATTTTTTTGTTTGTTTGTTTTAAGTGTGAATTACAGAAATATTTTCAACCTCATAGAAATAATATACGTGAATTGTAATTACATGCGAAACTAATCTTTCAATTCACATGAATCATCATCATACTGTAATATATTTGGAAATGGTATTCCATTTGTTATTCCATATTACTTAATGTAAATTTATGCAATTCCTTAGAATCATTTCCTGTGGATTTTCCACAGTAAAATATTTCTGTGCATCATCTAAGAGCAAAGAACATTATTTGACTAAGTTGTTAGAAACAACCATGATGTATAAATATTACAATATTGTGTCTTCGCATAGCGAATTATATAAAATTTCATCTTTTGTGATATCGCAAAATGTATAAGCTGCTTATGATGGATTATGTAAAAAAAAAGGAATACAAAACACATAGAGAATAATTTGTTTGAATATTATTTTAATATAAAAACCAAACAAAATTTATTCAATTATTGGATATCTTTGAAAAAAAAAAAAAAATGTAATTAAAAGGTATTGCAAAAATGTTAATCCATAATTGGTAAACAGCTTATAACATTGGTGTTGTACTTATTTTAAATAATTTTATATACACATTCTACACATTGCTACATCACGATTAGAAATCTTTTTTTTTCCTATTATTTTCAAATCTTTTGATATGTGTACAATATAAGAGACAAATTTTTGCAATTGTATATATTAGACTAGATTTGTAATTGTTGCTATTTAAATCCTTGTCTAAATATTTTACTTAATAATAATAATAATAATAATAATAATAATAATAATAACAGACAATATTTTACATATTAGTATTTTAAATATTGACTTTTTCTCAGATTGTTAATAATTATATATTTTTCTCACGATATGTTTTTAAGTTAATGTTGTTACAAAAGTGTAAAAAAAAAAAAAAAAGAAAAGAAAGAAACCTGAATGAAGGATTTGCATGAAAGATTGTTAATACAATAATATAATTTTTATACGATCAATAGATTTGAAAATAATGTTTGTATCACGATGAAGCCATGTGTAGCATTTTGAAAATTTATAATTTCTCTTGTTGTTTATTTATTTATTTATTTTTTTTTTTATTTTTTTTAAACCTTTGCAATCGTAATAATATTTGTCCTATTATATTATAATTAATTTTAAATTCATTAATTTTCTCATATTACATTATAATAATGCGATATTCGCATAATACAATGTGTATGAATAATAAATGATCGATGAAATATTCATTTACAATTGCAAAGGATTAACGTGGTCCTACTTAAATCTAGATTTTCAATGACTATACCTATATATATATATATATACATACATTATTATAATATTATAACAAGTGTTAATACGAAGTGTAATATAATTTTTTGAAAATAACTATAACTTCTAGTAAGTTTTTTTCTTTTTTTTTGTTGTTGTGTCTTCTATTAGATTTAAAATTACAACGATGTTATGATACATACAATTTTGTTCTTTTTGCCATAACGTGTACCACGTACACATGCATTGCTGGCAAAAAAAAAACGATATAATTATTATATCTATACAATATTGTTTTCAATGTTCTTTTTCTTTAATACATTGAAAGACAATTATATATATATATATATATATATATATATATATACTTTGTTAATAACATATAAACTAGTTCTATATATATATATATATATATATATATAAGGTATGTGTGCACTGTGTATAATTGCAAAATTTTTGTCCCCCAATGCCATTTACCGAGCTCAAAAAGCGATGAAAAAACACATTTAAGAAAAATATCCAATCTATCTAAGGACTTAGATTGTTTTTAATTATTATTTACAATATGATTATGCGAAAGTTATATATATATATATGTGATATAATATAATGCATCGAGATATACAAAACTTTTGCATTTCAATGAATAGATAAATAGTCATTTTAAAATTCAAACATAAGTTTCAATATTTATCTTGAGATAAAGAACTCGGTAATAAGATTCTTAAAATTTATCATGAAATCATCGAGAAACAAAGATAAAATTCAATTTAAATATAATGATTTGATTGATTGAAGAAATAACAATTCAATTAGACAATTAATCAATTAGAAAATCAACACAATTTTGTGTAAGTATATATATATATTTGTTAGATTTTCTTTTTGTCTGACCAGCAGAAGATTTTAATAGAAAAAAAAAAAAAAA